CTGCACTATTGTATCTCTCCTTGTGTACAAGAGGAAAGAATAGCTTTTATGCAGCTTGAAAGGATGTAAAATTCTAGATATGTAGGTATCAATAAATGTTAACTAATATTGTTATGTCAGTAGAGTCAACTTCCTTCGTAGCCACAGGAAGCAGAAGACAGTGCCATGCAAGTCTGGTTGCAATAATCCTTACAGTGAGGCAGGCCAAATGTGAAGGAGTTACCAGCTTCTCCACACTAAGGTACCCTCACTGTGATGCACAGTGAGCCAATGGAAAAAGTTTAGATCTACATCTTTAGCTAGGCATGTCAAACCCCGCAGGTCTAATTAGAGCCTGTTAAGCCATTTCCGATCCTCAGATGAAAGGTGTGCTCATCCTATTACACCACTAACAGAGCCGCTCGGGGGATGTTCTGCATCTCTGATCTTCAGACCAAGTTAACCGATGGAAATGAAGGACCTTCAAGGCTGTGATTCTCTTTTTCCTAGCCTCTCTCAAACAGGGTTTCTCCCAAGTCAGGAAAGGAGATTACACTATATTTTTTTAAAGGGTTCCCATACAGGGGATCAAAGATACATTGCAGTACACATCTCTACTCCCAAATAAAAGGAGGACTCTCAATGAAACAGTTAAATATACCATCACACTACGACACTAGATTTTCTACATTTGCCAATACCTACAATGCCATGATACACTTAAACAGCAGAATGCTAATCTTGTAATGATTACTAAAGGACTATGCTACTGTGATAAAATGGGAGAAAATGGTGGGAGGAGAAAATGTGGACAGAGGAGGGACAAGGGGAAAATCTCTATACCTATAAAACTGGATCATAGAAAATAATAATAACAAATAATGATAATTTTTTAAAAAAGAAAATGGCTTCCAAACACTGGTTCCCTCCCCAAAATGCCACAACAGCAAGAATTGGGCCAAAGTCAGCAACTGGGAACTCAATCCAGGTCTCTTCTTCACTGCTTGGATCATCACTGGTACTTTCCAAGGTGTGCATCAGCAGGTGCTAAGATCAAGGGCAAAGTCAGGACTCAAACCTAGGCACTAGACATGGGATGGGGACATCCCAATTGGCATCATATCTGATGCACCAGCTGCTTGCCCTAAGACACTATTCTAATAGAGCCTGCCAGGACATCTTCTGGAGAAACAGTGTGGAAAACTAGAAGCATCACAAGCAGAAACTGGGACAGGGTGAAGCATTACTGCTGACTCCCATGCCCATAAATCCGTATCGGAGAGAGGGTTCAGTTTCAGGAACACCACTTGGAGGGCACCAGAGGTAGCAAGTTTCGCCAAACAGGCAGGCTCCAGTGGGATTTCCAGAGTCCCAGGATGGAACCCCTCTCTGAAAGGAATCAAAATAGTAATTTTTAAATGGTTAAAAAAATAACCCTGAATTTTGAAAGCCTACTTTGAAAATGGTAATAATCCTTTAATCAGCCGCCAGCAGGGAACGTGGTATTTGGTTCAGACATTTTACCAATTACAACCCACTGAGTCCCTGCATGGTGCTTTCTAAATAATCAAAACCAGCTCTTAATAGTCACTCGCCCAGACAGCAAGAGAAAGAAGAAAACCAAACCCAAATGAGAAGATGCTGTCACGACACAAAGCCCAGTCGAGGGGGGCAACCAGAGCCAGGGGTTGTCCTAGTTTGCAGCAGGTAGCAGCAAAGTAACAGACCCGGATGTGGGGTTTGCATGGGGCAGAGAGGAGGGGTGGTTAGATCTTCAGTGGGGATGAGGAAAAGCCCAGAAGGAGACCTATGACCATGGATTTGCAGCTAGACAAACCCAGGAATCCACTCCAGCCCTGCCTGAAGTCTTGTTAATATTGAGACTTGGGCTGAACCCCTTCTTCTTCCTGAGTTTCCATTTCAATTGTGAGATGAAATTTCTCTACCTTGAAGCGTTGTCCTCAAGATGAGAAGCAATCTGTGCAAAGTACCCATGTGGTGTCATCCAGTACACAAAAGGCACTCAGAAGGTGTTATTTCCCCTGCTCCTTGTCCCTTTCCCCACCCCTGCCAGCATCGCTTTGGACAGAATTGGGAGAATGTCAGAGCCGAGACTCTGACATCCATCCCACTCTGGAAAAGAAGTGCAATTAATTATCAATCCCTGAACCATCTTTTTTTTTTTGTCTTGTAATAAGCAGAGGAAGGACACCTGTCAAGAGGCAAAGACTAGGCTGTGATTGGGATGGGACCTGGGGACCAGCTCCGCAAAGCTGCATCTGTGCCATTGACACATCATGCATAGTTCATACTTGATACTCGCTGAACCTGAACCACACAGCAAAGCAGCAGGACAGCCACTGGATTCATTAAAGAAAAAATGGGTACTAAAGAGGATTTTTTGCCACCAACTTAATATATCCAATAAGGAGCAGAGCAGCTGAAAGTCACATACACGGGGTGGGGTGGGGGGAGGAAGGAGAGAGAGAGAGTGAGCCCATTAATTGAATGATCACTTGGACAACAGATTCCATTCAACATCAGCTCAAAAAGATGGGGATGGGATGCAGAGAGATCAGGCAAGCAATTCTGCACAGCAGGGTGGGCTCACAAACACTCCTCCACTAGGGTGATGTATGAACCACAGACATTCTAGTCACCTTTCTAGTGCTAGTACAACACATGTGGACCCACTAAAAGGATGGTGTGGAGAGCCAAGGAGCCTGGGGTCATACATTGCCAGCAAGTCCCCTGGCTCATTGCGGTACATGCCTAGGAGTTTAGCTGCCTGCCCTGGAACAGCACTGTCAGCAGTGAGCTGCTGATGAGGGGCAGAGCCTCAGGCTGGGCCAGGCTGCAGAGCTGGAGGATGCATGCCAGTGGCCAGTGATGCTCTTTCTTAATGACTCATACAATCCTGTGGCCTCACAGCTGGCGGGAGCCAGCCTGAGTGGCGGTTGCTAGAGAAGCAGCATTAAGGTAAAGAGGGACTTGGAGCCCTAATCAGCTGTGTTTCAAGGGGAGGGCAAGATCAGGGCCACCAGTCAGCTCTGCCACAGCAGGTGCTGCCTGGTGGCAGAGCAGAATCTTTCCAAGATACACCCAAAAGGCAGGGCTGAGGTCCTGGGCTCGGCCTCAGCTAAGGAGGGGGAGCCTGGGGTTGGGGCGAGCATCCTCCCACCAGTACTCTCCAGAGCTCTCCTCCTTCCTGTTGAGTCCTTCCTCCAGGCACTTTTCACTACAGATGTGATGTTCTGTGTGGATGTGTTTGCCTGTCAACTGTCCCCTACTAGAATACCAGAGCCACAAAAGCAGACACTTTCTCAGGTGGTAAAGCCTGTACTAAGCAGAACATAGTAGGCAGTCCACAAGCACTTCTTAAAATCATGAATGAATGCTCTTCCCTTCACATCCCTCAGGCACAAGAGGCGGGCACAAGGAGCAGTCTGCCTGACAAGTTCCCTACCACCTGGCAGCCTCACTTCTTCAGGAAATGATGATCCCACGGACACAACCCAAGCACCAGAACCCAAGGCCACAGTGATTCTTGTTATGCTGACCTCCCCAACCAGACTACAATGTCTGTGTTAGCACAGAGACCATGTCCTTTTCAGCTCTATCACTGCTAGTTCCCAGTATAGTACCTGGCATGCAGTCCAAGATTTGTAGGATAAATAAAATGAACATTTGGTGATATCCCATCCCCATAGCTTCTGACTGCCTACTTACCCTCACCCCACTTGAGAAGTTATGAAAAACTTATCTAAGCTGTTGCCCTTGCTAAGAGATCATGGAGCTGAGAGGAGCTGTTGGCAAAGCTGGCACCAGACCTTCGTAGACCTCTCTTTGCCTTTTACCCTGCTGGCTTCTGACCAGGCCCTGTGCCCATCATTATTCCTGGCCTCTTGGAGAGTGGCAATGTTCTCCTTAGCAAGGCAACAGAAGTGTGTGGGATGTGGGCTCAGAGTGACGGGAGGCAGAGGTGATGGGGCTCTACAGCGTAAATTATATAAGTATCACCTGGCACGCTGAACAGTGGATGGCCAGATCCACCTTGGGCCCTACTCTAGGTCCACCCAAGCATAATCATGTGAGGCAGAGTTTAAAACTCTGCATTTTTAATAAGTCACTACAGTGAATCAGATGCATCACTGACCCTAATGGTCAAGAACTTGGGCTTCAAAAGAAGACACTTTTGGATTCAAAAACAAACTCTGCCATACAATTGTTCAAGGACAAGTCAACCAACCTCTCTGAGCCCCAGTCTCCTGATTTCAGTTAATGAGATTTAGTTAAAAGCACCCGTCAGAGTCATTTTGGAGAAAATTAATGAAAAGTATGTCTTGTGGGGTTAAGTGACCCAACACAATCAGCACACACACACATGCTTAACATGGTACACAGTCCTTAGGAAGCTGTCAATAAACCAAGCCTGTTGTGAAGGTGATGGTTCTTTGTCACTTGCCAGAAAAAGTGATTCTGCAACCCGTACAGCAGTGGATTTCCAGTCCTGTCACTCCCACGGTTAGGAAGTTGTTCAATAAATCTGCTTCCTACTGTGACGGGTGCCTGGTCTCTTCCTTTCTGGAGAGGGGCTAGTCCAGTAAAGGAAGTTGATCTTTATGGTACTGGGGAGGGTAAGAGATCTTTAGGGAGACACTGGGGTACTATCAAAATCCCTGTTTACTCTGGTGGTAGAGGATAGGCGGAGACAGGGGAGTAAAGTTTATGGAAGAGATGAGAAAAAGAGTGGGGAGCTGAAAGGAATGAGGTAGGAAAAGTGTTCCTGGGCCACTGGGAGTAGCCAGGAGAGGGGAACTGTGATGTTCATGGGGGACGGGGCAGTGGTTTGGCTTCCTCAGCCTGCGTAGGATCCAGTCTGTGCCTGTTGGCAGGCTCCATGGAGGCTGACATGGATCTAGGGCTTTAGGACATCCTAAGTGCCCAAGAGTCAGAGAAGTGGTTGGGGACAAAGGAAAAGCAGTGGCATCAGCCATCATGGTCAGCACAGCTCTACTTACCTGCCGAAAACCATTCCTGGTGAACTGCAAGATTTTCAAGGCATAGTTGGACCTCTGGCCTTTGCTGTTGAATTCAATGTGGCCGGTGAGACCTTCCAATTCTACCTGTCCAAGAGAGAGTGAGTTACAGCACCAAATAGGTCCCCTGTTCCACTGGGCCCCAAGCAAGCAACCATACCTGTGCTCCCTAACTATGCCCAACAGATGAAAAGCTAGCAAGATCCACTTACTGTCCATCCCAGGCCACAGCATCTAGAGATGACAAATAGGTTGTCTCAGCAACCAGTTCAGACCCATTTGAAGTGAGAGAAGGAGAAAGATGCTCCACACCCAATAATCCAATGGCAATTAATCAACTAACATTAGTCATGGTGCCAAGATGAACTCAGATTCCTCTCTGCATTAACCCTTCCTTTCCTTACTCCTCTCACTTCCCACTTCTAGGCCTTATACCTTCAATAGTTTTTATCCTCTTTGGGCAGCTGTTGACCCACTCCCAGATCTATAAGAGGTCAGGATGCCCCTATGGCTGAACAAATGGAAAAACTGACAGATCTTCCCAACAGCAGGTATCTTCCTCCTGGGATATAATCCATGCTCCTCCACCAGACAAGGCATGGTTGGAGGGGATCACGGAGGAATTCCAGCACCAAACTGTAAGTCTCCAGCCTGGGATTCCAAGATGAATCATGGCTTGCACCACTCCCCAGAACCAGGCCCCTTAAACATCTATGGTTTCATGGTCACTGCCTTCTAAACAAAATTGTCATGGTTTCTCAGTAGTTTTTAGGGACTAGGGCATAGTTGGGACTTAAGGGGCTCCACAGATGACGTTTCATCCAGGGCTGTGATCTTCAGGGAAGCCAGGACTTGAGGGACTTTTGCATCTTGAATGGTATGCTCCAGCCTCCCCACTTCACCCCTGGCTGTGGTCAGTGACAGAGCCTCAGCCACTGCTCACCATGCGTAGGTAGTTCATGAGGCTGGTGCCATGCTGCCAGATCTGCGCTGAGCCACACGACAGGGGCTTCACGCCGATCTCCTGGCTCCGGTTCAGCTCCTGCACGGCAGTCACCACTGCATAGACAGCATCAAACAGCAGCGCCGAAGACAGCTGGGAGGGTCAAGGCACAGGAGGAGGTGATATGTGGAGAGAAACCAGGGAAGCAAAAAGGGGGTGGGGGAAGGAGAAGAGAAAACAAAAGCAAAAGGAATGAGGGTGCACTACTACCATTCTAGGCTCACCTGCTTCCCTGGGGCAGCTCCCCTCTGATAACAGGTGGGCAGCTCATCCAAGGAGAAGATTTGCTGAGATCAAAGCACCAAGCTACTTCTTGGAGCCCCAAATGCTTTTTTACATTTAAAAATATTTTATTTTGTTTTATGATATAGTTTCAGAGGTTCTGGGGTGCCTGTGCCCTTCCCAAAGGTCCCTCTTCCCTCTTGATTTCCCCTCTAGTTTTACAATGGATGTCCCTCATGAACAGTCACAAGTCCGTAATGCTGTTATTGAAGTGTTTCCCAACAATATAAGCATGGACATTGTCAGAGAGTCCATCATCTTACTGCTAGGATGTATTCAATTCTTTCACTGGGAGTCCATCTTTGGTCTGTATGCATAGAGACACAGAGCATTTTGTCTCCATATCTGAACATATCAGTCCCCGCTACACTTCCATTATTTATCCCTGGACTGTGCCCAAATGCTTTCAAGGTAGCCTTTTCCTCTCTGTCCTCCAGGAAAACAGCAACTTCCATTATTCCCAATAATCTCCAGGAAGAGAGGTGCAGCTGTTTATCTCAAGAAGAATAAAGGAACCTGGCCACTCCTGACTGATTTGCCCATGAGGCTCCACAGAAGGTCACTTCCTCCTGGAAGATCCTCATGATTTCATCCTAGATGTGCCCACTGACTTACTGCCCTGCCCGACTGGATGACTGCGTATGAGGCACAAGGTCAATTCAAAGCCCAAGGATGAGTCAGATCCTAGGCATGCAAGAGATGAAAGTGGGAGAGGGGAGGAAGAAGGGGTACAGAGAAAGGAAACAAAAAAGATAACATGAGACTGGATGACCCAGACCCACGAAGCAATTTCAGGGCCCACAAAGAGAGATCCGGTTGGTGGGCCAAAAAAGTACTTTATGAAGGATGCCACTCTGAACAAGACTCGGGGTAGACCTGTTATTGGTTATGGAGTGGGGAGCAGCAGGGAAGGAGTAAGGTGAGCAAAGCATGGAACTACAGGAGCAGAGACTGGAAGGTGGAAAGGGGGACACACCCACAAGGGAGGGGAGGCAGAGAAGCAGATGCAGTGACACAATGGAGCCCCTTGAAGCTAGGCATGAGCCTGTGCAGTCATGTGTCTGTATTTTAGGTTGCAAACTCTTGAAGGCTGGCTGGAAACTTACAGGACCTTCATCCCTGCAATAACACACAGTGTCGCCTGGGGCCTGACATGTGGTTGGACCTCATGACACATTTCTTCAATTAAACTTGAGTTAATTCCTAGCTGAAATCCATCCTTTTCCCAAGGCAGCCACTCTGTCTGAAGCCTTTGGGGAGGGGAAGGCCAAAGTATCTGGGTGGGGTTGGCAGGAACAGAAAAAGAGGATACCTGTGCTTGGGGACAATGCAGCAGAAGCAAGAGGGAATGTGACATGTGTTAATGTACACAGGACCCCTGATAAGGAAATCCTACCAAGTGCAAATCGTGGTATGATCATCAGTAGAGATGAGTGGTGGGAATGGGGTGTCTAGGGGAATATATAGCAGCAGAAGCCAACATCCCCCACCAGTGAGTTCCCCCTGCCTCTTCCAACTGAAAATACCTCACAAACGACAGGCAGCATACTCTCACAAGTGACAGATTTCTTACAGCTGCCTACTACCCTGTCCAGCCTGGAGATACCAGCCCCTGGCAGGCTGGAGGGAGACGGCTTGGGTTCTTCCAGGCTCTTTGACAGAGTGTAAACAACCAAAGATAGCACAGGGCAGAAGTAAGACTTGGAGTAGATCACCACACTCAGAGTCCAGATCCCAGGTTCCTATTCAAGTGCTGAATGAGCTTGGGCATCTTGCAGAACCTCCAGCAACAACCTCCATGAAGTAAAAGAGCCCATGGTCCCTGCCATATGTCCCTGCCTTTGCAAACTGCAGGTGTCAGGTGTCAGTACGCCCATGGTGGAGACTGAGCATACTGGGGGTCCAACAGGACCAAGGCGCTGGGGAACAGTAAGGAAAGAGAGCTCCCAAGGGCAGAAGACAGGCTGGGCAGAGGGCTTTATTCCCTGCACCTTGTTGTTCCCTGCTGGGCTGGGAGGTCTGCAAACACAAAGCTGGGGAGTTGTCCAGGAGTATCCCTTTAAAGGCAATTACAGGGGAAAACATTCCAGATTCACCTGCTTTGCCAGGATGTTTTCCTTCTTTTCTTTCTTCTACCTTTCTTCCTTCCCACTTTCATTCAGCCCCTACCACCCAGAGGCTTCCATATTTCTTAATTCTGCCCATTCTCCACAGAGTCCTCACTATGGGCCCTCAAGTCTCTGTGGCCTTGGCCCAGTCCCCTGCCTTCCCAAGCAGGTGCATGTGCACCACTGTGTTCCTGCTGGCTGTGTGGACCAGCAATGCTTTCCTGAGTCCCTTCGCTCTGTCAACACCCCCCCACACACACACACACAACTCCAACCAGCTGCTTTTCACCTTGGTCACACGGCTCCCTCCGCATTGGATGAGGCTCACCTACATGGCTCTACATGGCTCCTGATGCTCCTTGGCAAATCTACAACTGTCCTTGTCCCTGGCACAGAATTCATCCCTCTCAGTCCCCCACCTCCAAAGCATGGCTGTTTCATGAATGGACCTTTCATTTCCTCACCTAAAGAGCAGGAAGATGATGTATGCCACAGCTTCTTCCTTTCAGTTCAGACCACAGTCACCCCTGCTGCTAGGGCTTCCAGGTTCCCAGGTGTGGCTATTTACAAGTCAGGTGGATCAATTTCTACCTTCATTCCCCCCTTGCCTCCCAGTTAATATACCTATTTCCATGATTCTCCAAGCAGCAGTGTTTACACTGGAAGGGATCTCAGAAATAAGCTACTTCGACTCCCTTGTTTTATAAACAGAGAAACCAAAGCTCACGGAGTTCCACCTCGCCCAGGGCCACAAGGCCAGAACGTGCAGGTCAGACCTTGGAGGCAGCACCTCTTGCCTGTTCTGGATCCTTCCCCTCTCTGCAGCCCGTGCCCAACAAGGCCTCCCTCCAAAACCAGGGTCATCTCTTTAAGAGGCAATTACAAAGAGAGTAGCTTTAGTCCAAAACCTCCCAGGATACCTCCAAACAGTCTTTCTGGATCTTGTTGTGGGAGCATTGGGTTCTTGGGACCCCCAGAGCAGGATGGTGGGCAGGCTTTGCCAGTGCCCTGGGTCTGGGTCATCATACAGTCCATCTCCTGGTCTGAGTTGGATGCTGAACTCACATTAGCTCCTCGATGTCATGATGCACTTACACAGCAGAATAATGGACTTGTAACTTATTGAAAGACTATACCATTGCAATGATATAAGGGGAAACAGTGGGGAGAGTAGAAGGAAATATTCCTGAGTCTATAGAACTGTATCATGAAAAATAAAAATGAAAAAAACAGCATTAGCTGTCAGTTGCCCACCCTACCCCGTGCTCCCCTTCCTCCTCCCACGTGGTTTAGGTACCTGTCCTTCTCTCTCATTGCCAGCCGCTTCAGAAGAGGCTAGCCTAGCTCTAGGTCCTGGGCAAGCCTGTGGGTGCCATGTGACCAGTGAGATACAGAATTGAGGCCTGGGGTGAGGGATGTGTTTCTTAGGAGAATCTTCTGTTTCCCAAGAGACCTCATCCCTGTGACCATGCATGTGGCTGTCACGGCTCCAACCCGAGCATGATGCTGATACAAAGACAACAGAGCAGGAAGATCAGGGTGTCTAACCACATACCTCTAGAATCGTGTGCCTCCATTCACAGCACATTTCATTTTGTGCAGAAGTTTTCTGCAGAAGTTTGCAGTTTGCAGTTTCTGATACCTGCAAGCTGGGAGTACCCTAACTGGGGGGATCCTAAAAGCAGGCTGTGCCTGCCCCTATCCCACATCTCATCATCTTGTGGTGAGGCCTTCTCCACCATGCCCTTGCACAGGAAGCCACCACACTGTCCCTCATCTCCCCCCCCAGGGGGCTCCCACCACACAGTTGTCACTATTCCCACTCCAGCTGGGAGATAGTCTTCTTGGCTGACGCTCTCTTACTAGTACACAATCTGGATGCTGGGAGACCAGTGTGTAAGAGTTCACCATGTTCCTTGGCATCTCTAACTCTGGGGCCTTTGAGATTCTTTGAGAGCTTCTAGTAATTACGACTCCAGCCAGGGAAGATGGGGGTGGGTGGGCAGGCAGGTGGGCAGTTGGGAAACCTCCTAGTTTCCAGACTTAGCTTCACCTAAGCACGACCTTCAGGGGTGACAAGGGCAGACCCAGATAGGCTCTGGCATCATGGGTGCTTCATCCAAGCTGACATTTTATAAGCTCGGAACACCTCCTAGATTGCAGTCTCCTGGGGATCCTACAGCCATTACTAGGTCACCCCTCTTTTGACAGGCTCCTGGCAACCCTCCCAGGCCTCGCTCCTAGCCCCTCCTCCGCACCTGTCCATCTCCCAGGCTCACTCAGTTTGGCCTCTAAGGATGTGACAGACCGGAATTTCTCTGCCTCGTCAATTCTTTTCATCTCATTTCAGATCTCTGTCCCGGAGCATCACTTTGCTCTCCTAATTACCTTCCCCCTCTGCTGTTATTTACTAATTTAGCTTTGAAAGGCATTTGGGACTAGTTAGGAAAAAGCAGTTTCTGGCATGAGACTCTGTGTCCATGCAGCAAGTGGGAGGGTGGCCTCACCATCTCCCTTCCATTTCCTTCAGTTCCAAGCCAGAAGACCCTGTGTCTTCTCCGCAGCCTCCGTTACTCATCCGTGCGTGTGTGTGCGTCTTCAGGTGCCTCTCTCAGTTTTGTCTCTGCTTCTCCTGTTCTTGTCTTTTCTAAATATTAAATTCCCGAAGCAGCTCAATCCTCATTTAAAATCCTCTCCTCTTTC